GGTCCAGGCCCTGTTTTTCCTAGCAGCCTGACCTGTGGTCCAAGGGGGGCAGGATGGGCGCTCCTGGGGACACCGCCCTTCCATCATCTCCCGTGTCCAGCTCTGATCCTCATGAACCCACGCGCCTGTCAGCAGGACACCTGAACTTTGTCAGGGTAGAAACACTGAGGATTCTAGCCAAGATTGTGAGCATTCGATTGTCGATAACCTGACTGTGGCTGCAGAATACCAGCTCAGCCAGTGTGCCTGGAGATTCTTGGCAGCCCAGGGGCCTCCCCAGCAGCAGCCCTGCCCTCGCCCAGCAGGGGACTCAGGACCCGGTTCTTTATGCAGCGGAAGAGCTCTCAGGCTCCAGCCGGGAAGGGACCATGCCGGAGGGAGCATGGATGCCCCTTGAGTACAGATCCACTCCCTCCTAATGCGTTCCTGGGCCATGAAGCACGAACCGTGGCGTATTTCTTACAGGTTTTGTTGTTTAGTGCAAGAATCTAGCTGCCCCACGTGTCGTTAATCGGGTGACTAATTTCACAAGAAAAGCATCTGAAATTCGTGCTGTATTTTCCACGGGTTTGTACCTCTAACCCGTTCCAGCAGATTGCTCATTTATGATATTAGCTTCTAAATTTAAAACATGTGCTCTTTGCCTGGAGCCATATGCGATTGGAATCCATTTGAAAGCTCTGATCTGGAAACGCTGGCATTGTGTTTTCCGCCCGTCTGGAAGTGGAGTCAAGCCGGTGCACGTCCCCTGCGGGCGCTGAGCTGTCAGGAGGCCCTGGTCTTGAGGGGAACTTGCAACTCGTGACGCCAGCGGCGTGGCAGTTCGGCTGGCAACAGTCCTCTCTGTCAGCGGAGTCTCATGTTTTTTCACATTACTGAGCGGAGTGTTTTCATAGCTGTACTCCAACCGTGCATTCTCATGGCAGGGACTGGATGCTCCCCCGGAGGCCACAGTCTAGGAGATCTGGAACCTCTGCAGGTGTTTCGTGCAAAGCTTTGTGGGCAAATCCGTGCCTGGGAGGGGAACCCAGTTCTCAGCGGACTGAGCCTTGAGACGCAGGAGGGGAGTGTTTTGTTGCCAGAGGGGGTGCTGGCTGGTGCTTTTTTAAAATCCAGAGACTTTAGGAATACCCACCACTCAACCCTCCCACTTCCTTTAAAGGGAAAAGGACATGCAGGTTACATTATTAGTTGATTGAAACTCAGTTATGACAGAATTCTCCGTAACCGTCTCACAATTCTAGTGAAAGTTCCAGTTTTCAGAGCAGGATGTCAGATTCCCCCCTCCCCCCCAGGGAAACAGCACAAGCGTGTGACACCACAGCTACAGGGCACTGCTACTGCTCAAACGCGGGACATCATAATTATGAAGATCGGGTTGCTTCTTGGAAAACTTCAGGTGATATGATGGTAAATGAAGAAAGCAGAATACAAAACTGCATGGGTTACAGAATTTAAATAAGGTTAAAAAAGAAAAACCTGGAAGGGAACAGGGAAAATAAAGACAATTTTCCGAGACACTGAGACTGGGGGCGACCACTCCTTCCACTGCTGTTAGCATGTTGTTAAAGTAATCAGTCAGACTCCGGAAGGGTAAGAGAGCGTTCTAGCAGCCAAACTGAATAAGATGTGTCTGCATCTCGGCTGGACCATCTGAGAGAAGTTACTGAGTCCATCAAAGTCCTCTCCTGCTGTCTCTTGTCCTGCCACCCCCGTCTGCAGTTTGCGGTCAGCTGTCCAGGCAAGGGCTGATGTCCACCTGCCAGATGCACCTCCCCACCAGTGCCAGCTCCCAGCATCAGCGCCGGCTCCCCCTACCAGTTGGAGGATGTTAACTGCATGATGACCATGAGCACAGAGCCCCTGTACTAGATGGAGCCTGAGGATTGATGATGTTAACCTCTGTGACCTCACCCTGTGACCTCACCATTAACCAGTCAGAGAACTGTGCATGAGCTGGTCATGTACTCTGTGACCCTCTCCCTCACTTTGTCTTTAAATCCCCTCCGTGAAACCTATCAGGGAGATCGGTCCTTTGAGCATCAGCCGCCCAGACTCCTTGCCTGGTCCTGCAATACACACTGCACTTCCCTTCACCCCAACCCCGTGTCAGGAGATCGGCTTTGCTGCACAGGGGTGAACGGATCCAAGTCCAGCTCGGTCATAGCCAGGGGTCCAAAATTCAGATGAGAAAAAAAAATCTTGATTTTCATTGACATCTAGCTAAAATGGAGACGTTCCTTCAGTTGTGGCTTTGGGACCCACAGTCATCACTCCCACGTCACCGGACGATGTGGCACTTCTCCAAGTCGCATCTGTGCTCCTCAGCCCTCATCTTCTCCCCTCTCTGCCTCCCTCATCACGTTTGCTCTCCCTGGCTCTGACCCTCCATCTCCCTCTCATAAGGCCCTGTGATGACAGCGGGTCCACCAGATCATCCAGGATAATCTCTTCATCTCAAGGTTCTTAGCCTGATCCCATCTGCAAAGTCTGCTTTGCAGTGTGAGGCAGCCCAGGCACATGCTGGGCACGTGATCCTCTTTAGGGTCATCACTCAGCCTACCACATCCCTCCTCGCCCCTCGTCGGCCTCATGGCTCCCTCCCGCACTCTGGAAAGTCACCCTGTCCAAGAGGTGGCCCCGGCCACAGCGCCTGAGACAGAGCACCCAGGCCCCATCCACCTGCGACTCTCTGACCTCATTTTTCTTCGTAGCAGAACTGTCACCCCATATTTTGTATTCATCCACATCTTTGTCACCTTCCCAATGAAATGTGAGTTCTAAGGGAGTGAGGGCTCTGGGATACTAAAGAATCCCAGTTAGAATGGTGCCTGGGACATAGCAGATGCTCATTAAAATGTGTCCATGAGTGAATGGAGCTCACCTGGCCCTCACCGCCCCATCCACGCAGGCTGAGCCTTCCACCTGCTCGCCACCTGCTCATCCCCTGCTTGCTCTCCAGAGCTCCAGGAATCAACCAGCATCTCTCCCATCACATGCAGATATGCTTTGGCATCACCGTCTTTTTAACAAGCCCCTCCTGGAGGCCTGCATCTTCAGACTCGGCCTCATCTCTCGGCCCCTTCTTAGGAAGCGTCTGTAAGGATCAGGCGCTCGTGACTCCTGGAAGCCGTCTTTCCTGCTGCTCTTCCCGCCTCACTCCGTCTCTGCGAGCCCCTCCTCCCACAATGACGTGTAAATACCGGGACTCCTTCCCTTCTCCCAGCCATGCCCATGGTTCAAGTGTCACTTGCACACCGATGCCCCAGGTTTGCCATAGCCCAGCCCCGCCTCTGAGCTCCAGCACCAGACAGCCAACTCAGCCAGCACCCTGGCGTCTCCACCTGATTTCAACTCCATCTCAATATAAACTGCTACTGTCAAAAATGATTACAATAACCCCTGTCTCCCCCCAGCTCATTCAGGAGTCACCATCTATTCATTGTTCAAGCGGGACTCACTACCTCATTCTCCTCTTTCTCTCCGGCATCTCATCCGTCAGTAAGTTCCAAAGGTTCGCGCTCCAAAATGTTCCCCTCTCACTGCTGCCTTCTATCACCCAGGTTCCAGCTCTCTGCACTTGGCAAGATACACTTATTTCCCACAAGGAGCCACTCACATATACCAAGAATGGCACACACTGGCACCTGTCACCCACTTCTGACCCTACTGGCACAGGGCTAGGTCTTCCTTTTCGGTCTGTCCACCAGCACCCAGGACACTCTGTTACCATCTAGGCTGACCACACAATGCAGGGACGGAGCAGTTTATTCCTGGAGCCCCAGTGTAAGCAGTCATCATGACCTTTCACTCCCTAAAGGGTCCCAATTTAAAAAATGACAGGCTCACAACATAGAAAATGAACTTATGGTTACCGGTGGCGGGAAGGGATAAACTGGGAGTTCGAGATTTGCAGGTACTAACTACTATATATAAATTAGAGAGACCACGTTTCTACTGTATAGCACAGGGTTTCTATTCAACATTTCGTAACTTACAGTGAAAAAGAATATGAGAACGAATACATGTGTGTTCACGTAGGACTGAAGCAGTGCGCTGTGCTCCAGAAATCGACACAACACTGTAAACTGACTTCAATAAAAAGTATATACTAAACGACAAATTACATGGGCATCCAAGTTACACACCAGCCTGGCAAGCATCTGGCTTGTTTTCTACTGAGTTTCCTGAAAGCAAAGATTATGATCTAGTCAGACGTGTTCTATGACCGGCACCTAACACAGTGAATGGCACATAAATAAACATTTGTTACCTCAAAGAACAAAGGGAAGGATAGCCCACTAGGAGCTGGGAACACTCAGAAGTGACCCTTCCCTGCCCATGGGCCCACATTTCCTCTTTGGAAGAAGAGAGGGTCCCCTCCTACACTGCTGGTAGGAGTGCAATTTGCTGCAGCCACTATGGAAAACAGTACGGAGATTCCTCAAAAAACTAAAAATAAACTTACCCTGTGATCCAGCAATCCCACTCCTGGGCATATATCTGGAAGGAACTCTAATTCAAAAATACACCTACACCCCAATGTTCATAGCAGCACTAGTTACAACAGCCAAACATGGAAACAACCTAAATGTATGTCAACAGATGACTGGCTAAAGAAGTTGTGGTATGTTTATACAATGGAATACTACTGAGCCATAAAAAAGAACAAAATAATGCCATTTGCAGCAACATGGATGGACCTGGAGATCATCATACTAGGTGAAGTAAGCTAAAAAGAGAAAGAGAAATACCATATGATGTCACACATACATCGAATCTAAAAAAAAAGAAAAAGAAAAAAGAGGACACTAATAAACTCATCTACAAGACAGAAACAGACTCACAGACACAGTAAAGAATCTTACGGTTACCAGGGGAAAGGGCATGGGAAGGGATAGATACATTTAGGAGTTTGAGATTTGCAAATGTTAACCCCTGTATATAGAAATAGATTTTAAAAAAATAAAAGGAGAGGATCCTCGTGGTCTGAGGCGCATCTGGCCTGGGAGATTCCTTAGGGCACTCCCTCCCCCTGGGAGCTCCTGGTCTCTCACCTTCACACGGGCTGTCCAGCTCCTGGGGAGATGAAGTCAGCGACGCAGGGGGACAGACACACCGGTACGAGCCCTCCACATTCACACACCATTCCCTTGCAGGGCAGGTGTGGAGTTCGTCAAAGGAACATTCGTTTACATCTATTGAAGAGAACAGGTGAGGATGCTCATCAGAGCCACTGTCCTTCTCATTAACCTCCGAGCGTGCGTCACACAAGTTGAGGACGTGGACTGGGCCTTGGTCCGGAGGGGCCTCTTGACGCCCTGCCTTAGATGGCTCGTGCAGCCCTCCGGCCCCCTTACTGGAGCAGCCGGCCACGTCTCAGGGCACAGCCTCCCAGCTGCCATCCGTGCTTAGGGGCTGCTGCTGGAGTAAATCACTCTGAGGCTGAAATAATGGGGCCCAGACATCCACCCCAAGCATCAGCCCCGCAGACAGCAGTGCTCTGGGCAGAGGCGGAGAACAGAGCAGCCGCCGACGTGCAGGGGGGCCTGGCCTCACAGCGGGAGCAGCCTTGCAGCGCACCAGCTCAGGACAGGCAGCCAGGCCGACCCACGACCAAGGGAGAGTGACACTGGCAAGGCCACATCACGACTTTATCTAAACCAGATGGGCAGAGGGCCACTGCGGCCTCACGAGGTACCAGCCCCTTCTCGGCCACAATGAGTGACTATTGGTTCATAACCAATCACAGCTCACCTTCATGCTGCCCCTCCCGTGGGTGAGACTTACCCAGGTACCCAGTCGCAGAATCGCCTCCTCTTTCCAACAGCATCCAACCCAGAACCCCACTCCCCCACCCAGCCCGCAACCATCCAATTCAAGCCCATATCCTATAATGGGTTCTCTAGACCCTCCCACAGAGATGCCTGCGGTGCCCGCCATGTGCCATCTCTCTCGCCACCTCGTGTGTAACCGTGTTCACCTACAGGGGCGTCCCCGTATCTGGGTGGAGGACTAGTCAGAACAGACAGGGCAGGCACTTTGCTGACCGGCACGTCTCGGTTTGGTTTTCAAGAACATTTGCAGAGTCTGAAGAGAGCTAATGCCTTCCCTGGAGCTATCCCCGGGCCCCAGACCCTGGCACCCTTATGTGTGACTTCAGCGTCACAGGAGGCCCGGCCTCTGCAGAGCAGCCGCCCTTCCAGGGCTGCGGCAGGAAAGAAAGTTCTACTGGGGCCCAGCCATCTGCTCACACACACTGTCCACAGCTACCTTCATGCCACTTGGCCCCAGCCAAAAACATTCACTGTCTGGCCTTTTTCAGAAAGTCCGCCGACCCCTGACATAGGCTAAAATAAACAAACACAAAAGGACGAGGTAATTTTCTCTAGAAATGCATCCATGAGCATCACCAAACACAGCTTTTCGCAAATTCGGCTGAGAGCCTCCTAGATCCAAGGGTGTCCCTGGCGAGGGAGGGAAAGAGGCGAGAGGGAACTTTGGGAACCCAAGAACCAAGGAAGCGAGTTATTCGGGGGCTTTTCCGGAATCTGTTCTCCGGCCCCATCTGGACGGAAGGAGAAGCCTGGGCCTGAGAGGCAGCGGGGGAGACACAGGGAGGGAAGGGAAAAGCAGCGTCAGGGCAGGACCAGTTCTCAAACCTTGGGCTGCAGAACTTGGAGTTTACCTCTGGCCCCAGATGAGCTAAAAAGGAGTAGAATGCCCCCCATGACCCCCTCCCCCAACCCCCCCCCCGGCTGGAGGCCGTCTCCGCTCCTGCGGCCCCGCCCCACCCACCTTGCACCTGGACAGCCATCACTTCGTAGATGCGCTGCACCATGCCGTCCAGGGCTGAGGACACGCGGGCCGGCGGCGCCGGCCGTGGCAAGCCCAGCAGCAGCCAGGACACCGTGGTCGACGTGGCCCCGCCGGCCGAGCGCAGGTGGTGGACCGTGGTGTCCAGCGGCTGCAGGGCACCGGTGACCTGTGAAACCAGCCAGAGTGTCACGCGGTGGAAGGGCGCCCCCATCAGACGGACAGGGAGATGGCAGCCCAGAGATGTTAAAATTACACACACACACACACACACACACACACACACACACACACCTCCCTTCTCTGTGACGGAAGGGGGAAATCTACTAACTAATTTATTTTTATTTCTAGTAATCTATTCGTGACGAAACGGTAGGTTAGTTACAGTATTAGTAAGTCGGTCC